ACGTAGATGAGCGGTACAGTATGTAGGACGTACTATTAATAGTAGATGAGCGAGGATAACGTAGGCGAGCGGTGGAATAGTGCCGAACGTAAACCAGCCAACAAGTACATCCTATCCCTGTGTTTATCGACCTCGTCAAAGCGGCCATGTTTGTACGTCGGCACGACGCACACTACAGTGTACTAGTACCGTACAGCAAATGGGGATGGTGCAAGATCACAAACTGCACGCATTCATTGCACCTACTACTCCTGGAGTGCAGTACAGTACTGTACACAGGGTTGTTGATATGCGTAAACATTGCGAGGCGTGCACTACAGTACTGGTAGGTGCTCCAGAAGTGCTGCAACAACAAACACATCGGTAGTTCTGCTTACTTGTACCGGTATTCCCCGAAGGATTTTCAGGGAAATTGTATTGGAAGATTCGTGTGGATAATTACTCTACCTAATGGGCTTTGGATAGGACTGTGAACGGCTGCTCTCAGGGTGTGGTCAGTGTACGGCGTCGAGGCGGCATTTGGATGTCAATTCAAACTCGAAAACCTTTTACATATAATAATTTTCCCACCATAAACTTTTACAAGATTATTGGCATGAGAGGTTCTCTTTTGTCCAATAATACAGCTCGAACGATTTAATTGGATGAAATAAATCGGCACATCACTGAACATTCGGCCCATCACTGGTCGATCACGTTAGTACAAAATTCCAGGACAAAAAATCGATCATATAGATTGGGCGACTCAGCCCACAAGTCCAAATTTTGGGTAAAAGGGCGGCATAACATTTTCATTTGCCAATATGTACGTACTAACGTTATTAAAAGGCTCCATTTATAGGTTGCATCGTCTCACTTTTGAGCGAAAGGAAGACGGAGTCGACAGAAATATTTAATACTAGTAATAAATACTAGTATGATTTAAAAAATAATAATAAATAATATTTAAAGAATATAACTTATATTTAGTGTTATTTTCGCTTTCACGAACGATGCAATAAATCTTTAAACCAGCAGCTGACTAACTTACAATATTACTGATATCAATACAATTGGACAGTAGTGCCTCCGAAATAGTATTTTAATTCGTCAGTAGATGTCAAAATATGCATGCGATTGAAAGATATTTATATATAGTCAGTAGCCATGATTATATATAAATATCTTTCAATCAAGAACTCAGCGAATTCGAAAGAGACTAGGTAGGTTACTGATCAAAAATGCAGTAGCCGATCGTTTAAATCCTATGGAACGAAATCAAATTGATCAGCAAACACGTTTTATTAATGGTATGAATCCATCATTCAATAGTTCCTGTTCGAACGATTCATCGATGGCGACAGAAAGCATGTAGCGCGGGCGCTGTCCATGGACAATCTTACTTGGCGGCTCAAACGATAGCGGCGTTGAGCTTCACTGCGCTTGTGAGGAAGTGAATTCCAGCAACAAGCTGCTTTCCCAAAGCATTGATGATGTGGATACATATATAACCTACTTTCTTTGTGTTTTAATATAGGTTTTACAGTTAATCAAATCTCCTTAACAAGAACAGTTTTGGCGAAACTTTACATAAAATGTACTCATCTATGGGATCTCAAAGATTTTATCCGTAATATTTCGGTCACTACTTTGGTGATGGTACTGTAATCTTAGGTTCATTTTTGTGGTGGGATATGACAGCTATTGCAGCACAAACTCATGTTAAATTCAATGTGCTTGCACACCAGCTTCGTCTGTGTTACCATGAAGTCAACTTGCACACGTTTTGGGTACAAACTCGATTCACCTCCGAAAACAAGGCGAGATTGTCAGTACAATGTAGTACGAAGGAATCAGGTAGTAGGAAAATTCCGAATAGAATGCCTGGGTGAAATTGTGGTACTACATCCCGTCATAGATCGAGTAGTAGTTCGCCAGTTAGTCGATCTCTAATCAAGTGGTGAGTTTTATTCGAAGTCGCATGGGTTATTTCCATTTACTTGATCTGTTGCTCATTAACCCAACTACAACCGGTAAGGTTAAGCCTTACGATCTGTAGTTGGGTTAATAATACTACTAGTAGCTATTAATATTAATACACCTTTTTACAGTTAAGTTGGACGAATGCCCGATATATTTGGCCGTGTGCCCGATATATTTGGCGGTCTGCCCGATATAATTGGCCATGTGCCTGTTTAATTTGGCTCACGGATGTCGTGTGCCCGATATATTTGGCGGTGTGCCCGATATAATTAGCCGTTTGCCTAAGTAATTGGCCATCTGCCCGATGAATTGTGGCATGTGCCCGATGAAACCTTGGGGTAAATCGAAAAATGAGTTCTGCGCGCGACAGCTCATTTTTCGATTTACCTCAAGGTACGCACCCTCGATGGACGCGCGGAGGCCATGGGCAACATGGGCGTTGGGATGTCACGTCACAGCAACGATGCTGCATGTGTCGTTTAACGACCATTTCTATATTGAATTGACTTTTTATTGGGTGATTTCCATTTTCATCGGGCACACGACACAATTCTTCGGGCAGATGGCCAATTACTTGGGCACACGGCTAATTATATCGGGCACACGACATCCGTGAGCCAAATTAAACGGGCACATGGCCAATTATATCGGGCACACCGCCAAATATATCGGGCACACGGCCAAATATATCGGGCATTCGTCCAACTTAACTGAAAAAAGTGTAATAGGTGGGTGTCCTTGCAAAACCCGAATAATCATAATGGTGTAATGTCGTAGCGCGCATTTCTGATTGGCTGTTACTTCAACCTTGAGCCAGTGGTAGAGTTTTGATTGGACGATGCTTTTCCAGGTGCAAGAATGCGTCGAGTAGCGGGGATTGCGACGGCGGCGGCGGTTCTTCTTGGTACCGCCGGGCCGTGGAATGCTGTAGACGCGTCGACCATCCATCATGCTGCGGTCGGTCTGCAGTGCACCCAGCGCCAAGACTGTGGGTTTCTTCCCGGCCTGGCTTGCATCAACCAGTACCCTTCGCCTTCCTTCGTGACCACACTTCATGTCGCTCCGTAGGACGTGTGCCCACTGCACCACCGACACTGACTGTGGCGCGTCTCCGTCGGACCTGTCCAAACGATGCATCGTCCAGGTGTCGCGAGCTGCGTCCTCGTCTCCCCGCCACCCGCTGACCTCCGTGTGCATCGAGAAGAACCTGTTTTCGCCGTTCACGTCCGCGGACGCGTTTGCATCCTTCATGGCGTTCCTCAGCGCCGCGCTTGGATCTGGCTGTGGCGTTGGTGGCGGCGGGCTCCTCGTACCCCTCTACATTCTGGTCGTGGGGCTCAGTCCAAAGCATGCCATCCCGCTATCCAAGGCCACGATTTTCGGTGGCGCCGCCGCCACCTTTCTCGTCAACTTTCGCAAATCCCATCCCCGTACGTCCCTCCCATCATGTCTTCGCATGTCAAGAATTCAAGCAGCTCCATCTAGTTCGACCCAAGCGTCCGCTGATCGATTACGCGCTGGCGGCCATGATGGAGCCGCCGACGCTGGTCGGGTCCATCTTTGGAGTCATGTTCAATCGTTTGTTTCCGTCGTGGCTGATTCTGATCCTCCTCATCACGTTACTCGGCTACACGGCGTACCGGACGCTGCAAAAAGGCAAAAAAGTGCGTTTATAATATGTATATATAAATATATATATATATTGAAAATAGATTATATGTAGTGTGGGTCTGAACCACCTCCCAATTTCTTCTGTCCAATTAATATTTTCGAAAATGTGGTATCCCCTATTTTTGACTGTCATGCTCAAATACTGATTTCGAACGAATTTTCAGGTATTTCCAACTTTCAACAAAAACCAAAATGTCCCTTGATGTCCTTGGTTGTTTTTGGCAATATTTTTCCAAATTTTGGATCCAGACAAACAAGTTTTCACGTTTTGCCGATTTGATCGAAATAGCCAAAATATCGATGATTTGGGCCTATGTTGACAACCATATTTACCCTTTTATCACAAACGTTGGATAGCTATACGGCAAGGAACAACTGGCCCTGCACTCGGACTCGCCACCCTCCGCGGACGATTCCTCTTCGTGTTTGATCAATGTCGATAAAATCCAGGTTTGTCCATCCTATCTATTGATGATACATACGTTGAGTTTTGTATATATATATGTATATATATATATAATCTATATATGGGTCAAACAAGATATCATATATATATATATGTGTAGATAAAAGTGGACTGGTGTGCTCGCAAGTGGCTGCTTCTAACCAGAGAAGCCCGCCATCGCCGCCAGCAACGCGCCGACGACGACGCCGACTTTGCATCGCTGCCACCTTTGATTCTCCCTCCAGATAAGGACCAATTCTTTGCCGACGCCCGCGCCGCGCTAGAAGCTGACGAATTCAACACGTTTCCCATCCAAAACGTGCTGCCCCTTGTCGTGTGCTGGGTACACGACCTCCCTATATATTAAAATCAAGAACTGATTTTTGTGTCTGTGGCTATAGTGCTTGGTATTTGCGCAAGCGATCATATTGGGTGGTCATGGGACGCCGAGTTTGGTGGGCGTACCGTGTGGCACTGTGTCATACTGGCTCCTTACTATTCTGCCGCTCACCGTGTTGTTTGGGATCACGACGTACGAATATATATATATGATAAAAATAGTGCGATATATCCATGTGTTTGGCATCACTGTTGTGTTTTGTATATGTTGCTGACTTGATTTCGTGTTGCGTGGTATATATATATATAATAGCATGATGGGTCGACGCCTTCGCCTCCGCAACCGCCTTCGTGTACTATCCCAAGTCGAATTTGTGGACGGCGACGTCCACTGGACCCGCTTCAAGACGCAAGTCGTGTTCCCTGCTTACTGCATTGTAGCCGGCATCGCCGCGGGGCTGCTGGGCATTGGAGGTTTGCTATATATATATATTTGATAAATGGTTCTGATAGCGAATAATACGATAGGAGGCATGGTTAAAGGGCCAGTGATGCTTGAGAATGGAATATTACCCCCGGTGCAATCGTCGTCGGCGTCGTTTATGATCTTATTCACGTCTTCTGCTACAACCTTGCTGTTTTCCATTGCTGGCACGTTCCCCGGTCAATTGCAATATGGTACGATCTGATACTACTGCAGTACTAGTACTACTACTACTAGTACCCACATATTCATTTGGGGATTTTGTCACTGCAGTACTGCTCCTAGTAGCAGTAGAACCCCCATGTGCATTTGGACTTGGCATTTTGATGTTCTCTGGTAGTGATGGCATAGTCAAACCACTTTTCACGATACCTATACTATGTCATAGATTACGTGCTCTGGTTTGCGACCATCGGGTTTTGCGGGGGTTTGTTTGGGCAAAACGTACGTTAAATATTTACTATATATATATATATATTATATTGCGTGTAGGTCGTGGGACTGTTGCTGAAAAAGTACAACCGGACGTCGGTGCTGGTGTTCATCTTGGCGTTTACAATTGGTCTGTCGGCGATGTGCATGGGGTACGTCGGCGCCATGACGGCGTGGAGGGACTTTATCAAGGGAGGGGACCTCGGCTTCTCCAGCGTCTGTGCCGCTGAGCCATAAGAACAAGAGTTTAATTCGCCAAGTCGAATATATATCCTACATCACAGTACGACGATAGGATCTCTTTTGTGCGACAGGAGTCAATGGAAAGCCCTATGCAACTAACAACCAACCTACCTACGCATCCTTGTACCATGGTATACCCACAGTAGTGACCAAAACCACTTTGGGAACAGGGGACACAGATTACCGGTAGGCTTATATTATATATAAACCAGCAAGCAGACTACGATCGCTACAAAGTAGGATAATGGAGCTTGAGCACGTACACTATTAATAGTGTGCACTACAGTAGTAGTTCCTGCAGAGAGCTAGCTCTGTCTTTGAGGGGTTGTTAGCAGGTAAATATATTCTTTTCGCATCATATGAATCAGCGCCCCATCGTGGGGGTGGCAGGGTAGATGTCGATTATGGAATCGCCATAGATGACCGTGGTGATGGGCGTCAACTTTGATTGACATGGCGTCACGAAGGCACAATGTGCATCCCGCCCCACATCTACTACAGTACCCCCGACGAATCAACAAAAATCGCAACGAATGAACGATACATTCAACGTACAATATGAACAGCGTACATGCAGACGAGTACAATGATGCCCTCATCGGTCACTTGACTGCCTTGGATGACAACTGTTGTCGAGACCAACCCCAACGGCAACGACCGACGCGGACATGATCAACCACCCCGACGGACCCCCCAGCAAGATGCAGTCCAACCCCAATGCGAAGTCCCTACCGATTAAAATCGTCGTGTGAAGGGTCACCGCGTGTTGGTAGTACTTGGACGAGAACGGCCACACCATGTACAGTGACAGAGTCTGGCGATATGCGAGTTTGAACCAGCACAAGTGTGGGAGTTCAAAGAACTGCTAAGCGAAGTACGCTGTAAAGTACAAAGGAGGCGAACGAGGTGGCGATGTTAGCTGTGTCAGTCTTGGCTGCGTTGAAGGGGGATTCAATCCATACTCGCCCGTCGGCGACGCCAACGCCGAGAAGGACGGCCACCGAGACCGAGCGCGCGAGTGATGTCGATGGCTGCAAGAAACACAAACCCAAGTTGTCCGGCCCTGTAAACGCCACCCCTAGCAGTTTTCCTACGATAGTACAGTAGCTAAGCAAATTTATGAGCCATGGACCTGGAAATGTGATGAAGGCATTCACGTTTTAGAACGGATGCGATGTGAGCTCGTCGGCTGAACGAGAGGGTCAACGATCGTGACGACGAGGTTGAGGGCGAACGCTGCGCGGAAGTGCAGCGAAATGCAGTGGTTACGTGGCGTGAAAGTCATCGGATGATGAGGATGCGGTGGCGACTGAGACTACCGGTAGAATGGCGCATCGATGAGCATGTTTGAGGTTGCAATAACGTTAGTGACATCTATCTACCAACAGCCCCCCTAACATAGTGGACTCGATGCGACAAGGTTAAGAAGCTACTATGACCGTTGCAATTTTCAATTGAATTCAAACTACTCCGCAGGTGTGTTCGTTACGTGTGTCAGCATGGTGGGCTGAGTCTAGTTTTGTGGTGAACCTGGTGTAGATAAAAATAGCTCATGCCGACCCCGCGACAACGGGGCACATCATGGTCAGAGTCTTCGTGCGTGCACCAGTTCCAGACACACCCGCCTCGTTTCTCGCAACGTACCACCGCTTGTCCGTGTTGGTCAATGTTGGGTTCGCCCTCAATCTCGCCACGACGGTACGCGCCAGCTTGTTTTCTTCCCCGTCAGATCATGTGTGTACATTGTGATAGCCACTGATGGCGTACGTGGCCGAGCCGTACCCTTGGGGTATCCCGTTGCAAAACACGTTTGCAGACGTCCCGTACGACGCGTTGGACGCCGCCGCCGCGCCCATGTTTCAAGGGTTGTACAACAACATGACGATGGCCCCCCTTGAGTGGTTTAAACTCGATCTGGCCACGCTCTCGTACGCTGTTCGTTACACCCTAGTGATTCCCCCGGCCGACGAATTCGTCTCGCACCCGCTTCGCCAAGTCAACGCCCTTGTTTCGTTTCCAGGTGCGTCGGTCGCAAACACACCAACTTGTGATGTACGCCTAATTGACGTGGCAGCGGCGGGGTTTTACGGCGTCGGGGGGCGGGCACTCGTGTACGACTTTCTCGCCGCCAACAGCTCCGCGCGAGCCTCAAATCGCTGGTGCACATGCCAATTCGCCGTCCTCTTGGGCATACCCATCGCCGTCGGGTGTCTCTGGTTTTACTCGACTTCCTCGTCCGCCGACACGTTGCCGTCGACGAGCATCACGGCGTTCTTTTCCGTGCAGTTGTTTGAAACGTTCAGTATGTGCTGGTTCAAGCTGGCGTATCGCGTCGCCTTGTCTCTGTACGTGGTGTGGCTGCTCTGGTCCAGGTACTACCGGCACATTGTTGCCCTCCACAGGTCGTTGAATCGACTGGGGCTGGATTGTACATCGAGCTGCACGCGGTACAAAATCATGCTGGGGGATCCATCGGGGTTGATCATGTCCGAGTTTGTCGTGGCCGTGGTAGTGTTGCTCGACATTTGGATGAATGTTTCGTACCTGTCGATTGCATTCATCCAAGTCAGTCAAGTGACCGACGTGTGGCAACTTATACTTGGCTGCATGTACACGGTTCGGTTTGTACGTTGACTATGTGTCGTGGTTTCGGTGACGGTTTCTTGTTCATTCGCCCGGCGTACTGTAGGTGTGGGGCGGCGCGCTGTTTGTGTGCATCTTGACCGTGTTCACAAAGCGGTACAAGTGGGAAGCCATCTTTACGCCTGTGGATCCGACAGTCCTCACGATAGCCTCGTACATCTACGGCGGTCCCGTCCTCGCAGTGTTTGTCGCCACGCCCGCAATGGTGGTGGTGTACATGCTTCGCCATATTAGTTTACCAGGCAAAAATCCCGTCGTCGACATGGAGGTCTCTGCATGTACGTACGTACATACGTGAGTTTTCACACTAATGACTAACAACACCCATAACCCGTAGCGATCGTCGCCATATCGTTGTTTGTTTCGTCCATTCCGGTCGTGTACTCGCTGGCGCGTACGTACATCCGTTACAGGTATCCGCCGCGGCCAATAATAGGGGGGCCACGTCGAATGACCCACCGGACATACTCGGATACGTGGTGGCAAGTTCACAAAACTACGGGCGATATCAAGCACCGCCTCCTCCGTACGTTATATAAGCAACGCAGCAAGGACTGCAGAGGAGGGTCCATCTACAAATTGTTTGATCGGAACCCACGATATCGCATGAAGCCACTCACGAGTCTCCTCTCTGCCGACGTGTTTGTACTTTGCGCCAGGGGGGGGGAGGGGCCCCAGGTTTACGACATCCAAGTGCGCCTGAGCTTGGTATCCCTTCTCGACACACATGCGAACGACCCCGCTCTGGCCATCACGACGTGTCCCCGCGAGCACCGCGCCTCAGTCGCCACCTTGAGCCACCCCACGTCCTGCACGACTACGTCCTCCCCCTTTGTTGCGCACGCGTTTACATGTGTCCATCTAGGCGAAACGGACTGGCTCATGTAAGGAGTTTTGGTGGTACCCCAATCTCTATAGTTAGGCCGCTGTTGAAGGACTTTTATACAAACCTATAATCCTCCCGACTGGCATGTTGAGGGATTATGAATTCAATGCACCGAGTCCATGCATACCATTATAGGATTATAGGTTTGTATAAAAGTCCTTCAACAGCGGCCTAACTATAGCTATTGGGGTACCACCAAAACTCCAACGGTGTGGCTCCATGCCCATTGATTGTCCTTACATGAGCCAGTCCGTTTCGCCTAGATGGTCAATTTGTTTCTGATTGGGCTAAAACCAGGCTTCTAGCCAATCAAACGTTGTGGTGCGGTTAGCGAATGCGGAACAATCGGCAATCCTTTAACTGCACTCGCTCTTGTCCTTCGTTAAGGCGTCGCGGCGCCGACGCTGGAGAAGCTCAGGTCTCCCTTTGATAAAGTCCCGCCACGCCGTGATAGCCCCGATGTACCCCATGCATGCAATGTCGGCAGATCAAGTGTAAGACAAGGTGAACACCTGAGATTAATTCAATGAATACCGGTAGTACTACTAAACGTGATATATCCGGATAACTCCATGACCAGCGACACCACTTTGTCTAACTGTCAACACGAAGCGAGAACGTACTGTGTACCAGCAGTGTGTCCGTCATTCAGTCAGTTCGCGACATGCTGCCTTCGTCCGAGTCCAAGCCGCTTTTCAATGGTCGAGCGGCTCCACACCCACTGGCGGCTTATCGCCAACTGGGGCTCACCCTCGCTGGTCGGTTCATCCTCGTTGTACATATATGTAGCGGTATCCATCATCGGCCAACCCACAAGTGATCATGGCAGGGTGCTTTGCCATCTTCGCTCTGGTGTTTTTGTGCACTGATAGTCCTGTCGGCATGCAACCAGACGACGAGGATGCGTCCACCGCGGCCCTTCCGACAGTGTCTTCGTGGTCAACACCAACCCAACGGCCATCCACGTGCCCCGAGATCCTTCCGCAAGATCGCGTGGTGCTGTTCTGGCAGTCTGAAGTCGGCGGTTGCGAGCAAGTACGATAACAACAAAAATTACCTCCAAAATACAACGCCAAACCAACCTACTATCTATGGACAAAGTGCAACAGCAATATTAGGCTCGTCATTTTCAATCGAAATCGGTAGGTGCCCAATGGCGTGACCCATGTTGTGTTTGGCTTTGCCCAAACATTTGGTGGGATCGTAACTCCGTCGTTCCAAGGCGCCGTAGCGTCGTGCGTGCAGTCCCTTCGCCAGTAACGTGACTACTCGAATTGGTCGCCATGTTGCTGCGATAATATCGACCAACATGATCATTGTGTGTAGACGCTGCATGTACGTGATGGGCGTGATCGGCGGCGCCAACAACAACGTCGGCATGAGCACGATCCATGACCCGCAAGCGTTTGCCGCCAGCGTCAAGTCGTTCGTGCAACAGTATCTCCTCGATGGCGTCGATATTGACGACGAAACCAGCTACTTTGAAGGGCTTTATGACGACCACCGCGTTCGATCATACATGCAGGCAATTACGATTCTATTATATATATATATATATATATATATTAATAGAATGGACAATTATAGGCGCTCCACACAGCGCTCAAGACCAACGGCAACGACTACCTCCTGTCGTACGACGCGTACATGCTAGAGGCTGACCCTGTGTGCTGGAAGAGTACGTTACCAACTCTCACATCGTTCTGCCGTATCTGCCGTTAATTTGCACCTTGGATTACAAAGATGCCGATATGTTGGATATATATATATATATACATATATATATATCCAACATATCGGCAGTATATATGTAGATTCGTGTTGGTGTGTGTATATATATATATAAGACTTTGACAACCATCTCCAGCTCCAACCTTTCTAGTCTGTCGATGCATCGTCTTTCTAGCAATGTTATTTCCATTGCAATTCATTCTAGGATATATACAGTACAAACATATATATATGTAATATATATATTTATATAGTATTTAGACACTGACAGTATGTGGGTAGGTGCGCGATGTTTTGCCAAGGGGGTCGAAGAGTATGTGGATTGGGTCAACGTCATGGCATACAACGTCGACACGAACGTAGCAAGGGCGAACGTACGTCCTACTAGACTTGTCTTTCGAGCCAGTGGGCACTTATAAATTGCTTTTTGGTTCACAAACTCGACCCTGTTGTAGCAAATCTATGCCGGCGCGACTAAAAATGTATTTGAAGCGTGGGCGAGGATTGTCCCAAGAGACAAAATCACCATGGGCATGTGCATGGGGGGGGCATGCTCGTACGGCCCTGGGCCCCCCTCGTGGGTCGTCCAGTCGTGGGCCCAGTATAATTACGCGTCGCACATGGGGGGGCTCATGATTTATGCCGGCTCCATGGATATCAACACTGGGTTTGAAACGACCAAGCAGATTGTTCTGTGGATGCGCCAAGCCGCCAAGACGTTTGGGGGGCGTCGGTGGAGGACCCCCCGATTGACGACGACAGCTACTACTAGTAGTACTAGTACTACTGCGACTACTCGAACGCCAGCCCCCACGCCGTCGCCACATCGAAGGGACAGCACCGTGTGCGGCATGTGTGCAAACTGCCTGTACGTGCCAACCCACGGCTGTTATATTGGGTGGACATATGACCAGTGCACTGCGTCTGCGTTCACATGGTGTGGCCAGTAGAACGAGTGTAGTACTACTAGTATTACGATTAACAACTAACGTATATCGTACGTACGCTATGTGTGCTTCGACTGACTACACAATGATGACGCTCGAGCCCGAAATCGATACATATAAACCATTACTCGCTGTATTAGTTGATGGCTGGCGGGTTCACTGATGCTAGCTACCTGGTGGTACTCTGCGACCACCAACCAACTCCTCACTACTGTACTGCAGCCCACGACAACTAACGTTCCCCATTGAATTAGTATATACTAACTACTACTACTACTTAAGTCCTGTACTAGAGATGGTCGCTCGAGTATCATCATTCGATTGTATCCCCCTCCCCACGTCCAAGTTGCAACAGCACAACGCTGGTGTCCTGGCTCGTGCTGACCATCAATCCTGCCGTAGTGGGATGCCACGCCAGCCTCGTCACAGTCGCCGCGTGCGCTCGGATGCTTTGGGTCGTGGCCATTTCCCATTTGCCATCGGCAGCTGCCGACGCCGCCACGAGGTGGACCCATCCGGACTCGAGCCCCACAGCGATGAGATATATACCTTCCTTGGTGGACATTTCGGGCTTGGCAAACGCTACAGCAGTCACCGCCGACGAAAACGAGAGAGCCGAAGCCACCTAAAAACACAATAACATGGTCATTCGCTCAAGTGCCTCGTTCAATGGATGGATGGCTCACAGGCTGCCACGTGGAACGGACGTGTCCCCACAGCAACAAGGTATCATCTCGGGAGCCTGTGGCAAAGAGGCGGCTGTCGTGGGCCCATCCGCAGGTCCACACGATGCGCTTGTGCACTTTTTGCTTGGTGGCGAGGGTATACGACCCATCTACGCAGCAGCAGAACCACCAGTCACCACCGCCATGAACCGTCATATGTATTCATGATCGGGATAGGATTTGTTTGCAAACAATGTGACGCCATATCTTCAACTCCGACACAACGTTCAGTATAAAAGATTGTTATATGTATTTTTTAGTCTATACGATGTATATATATATATTATATATACATGTATGCGTGGATGATTCGGTATGGCAACTTTCAAATTGAATAATCAATCGCTGGGCTGAATCGAAGCATGGAAAGTATATATACTGTATTGACGCTAGTGGATACAGTCCAACGGCGAAAGCCGCTTTAGATGGTATGCTATTTTTCAGAAAATACAAGTATATGCCGCCAATCCACTTCCAGCGTGATGCAACGTAGATATTAGAAAACCACGCGAAATGTGGACGTTTATAGCGAATTCAATATATACATATATATATATTATACACGATACATACAATACAATATATACTTGAAGTATTATACACGATACATACAATATAATATATATACACAATACAATATATATCATACACGATACTTACAATACATTACATTACATATATATATATATATATTGTGAATTCGCTATAAAATTTTATATATATCTTTGCAGCATGTCGTACTTAGCACTCTTGGTATTTGTCGATCGTGTTGGTAGCTGAAGTACCTGGTTGCAACGCATACACACACACGTGCCTGTCCTTGGACACAGACACCAAACTGCGATCGTCGGGGGAAAATGCGAGCTGCACCACTGACGACGCGTGCCCTGGCAGTTGCTGGAGGGGCACAATGTCCTCTTCGGCACTCGCCCACAGCCAAATGGCGGCAAACTGACTGTCTCGACTCTTGCAAGCCGACGCGAGCCGGGTACGCGCTGAGTTACTCGTCACGCAGAGCAACTCGTTCCCGTGCCCGTACAACTTTTGCAGCTCAGGCCACACGGACCGATTCAATTGATCCCCCACGAACACTAGAGAAGTAGAGGCGTCTGTGGTAGCTTTGGTCGTCAGACTTAGCTCCGGAAGCATGCCAAACCCGGCGGAAGAAAGCTCGCCTCGCACCAACGCAGCCATGCCCTCGGGTACGGCAAACACCTACCGAATCAGAATCGCACACAGTGTTGCGGAATCAGACGAGCTCATTGGAATCAGATATACTCCAACACGACGTCAGCTGCGTCCAACTTTGAATCCGAACAACCAAAGCCACCTCCACAGCGGCCCAACCATCAACATACACGACATATATCACACTCAGCCTCGTTCGACTCGGAATCTTCATCCACCCACAAATATGACCATGAAAGACTGGGATCTATCCTAGTGTATCGTACGCGCAAGATCTTCTCGTCGGCGCCACTCACAAACCGCGAGGCGTCGACAAAGCAGCCGCAGTGCAGGTCGTACCCGTGCACTTGCACGCGGGAGATTTCGGTCCACCGGCCATTTGATCCGTGGGCAAAAGCCCGCGCCGTCTGATCCTGCGACACTGTGACAAAGTAGTCGCCGGCCACGGACCACACGACATCCGACACGGACTGCGTGTGCCCTGTGACACTGACCACCGGCGCCAAGAGCCCGTCGCTCCCACTCGAAATCGCCCACCGGTGGATTTGGCCTCCGAATGTTAGCGCCACCACCTCTGACATAAGTGACGACGCCGGTGACAATAGCGGGGCCGCGCCTGCCAACAAACCCAGGCCACTATACCAGTCCACCATACAATTTATTACACATTTTGTCGATTCGAAATTGAATGAGCAGAATCACCAAATCGATCGATATACGACCAATGAAAAGCCAGAATACTCACTCATCAAGTATCCAATCAAATCCACCCTTCGACTACTAATGCAACCTCGAATTAGTGTGTGACTGAAAGTAGTGTGAGTCTGGACGATCATCTTACATACAAAAGACAGGACAAAGAATCGATATATCGATAGATTTGGCAAAGAATAAGCACAAACGTCCAAATTTTGGGTAAAAATGTGGTCAGATATTGAGCCACCAGTCCATTTGATGCGTACCAGTCGTATGTATACACAAAGCAACACAATCGAAAAATTGTAATATGATTTGAAAACTATAAACAAGTCATGTTGAGCTATAATATAAATATGTATACAATCGACCGAATATAGTTTTAATAATAATTAGATATATAAAACATGTACATTATCGAAATCACAATAGCAAACGAACTGACACATTTGGGCATTCAAACGTGGCCTTCAAAATCGTTATCATGTTTTTTTTACATATGCAACACATACGCGAGGTACATGTGGTTTATGAAGAGATTTGATTTATATATATATATATGCACTATACCCGAGGTCTCCGATACGTAGTTGAGGCGTCCAGAGCTCACTGTGTTTGTCCAAGTGCCACAGAATAATTCGATTGTCCATCGAAGTCGACAAGAGAATGAGCCCTGGAACGACCCACGTCACACTTGTCACCCAATCATCATGGCCCACCAGCATCGCATCACACGATACGCTCCTAATATAAGACGACAAGATTCGAGTTATATAGACATAGATATTGCTAGTATAGCGAGTATATACATGATATGCGATGATGTGCTGTCGATACGCCAGAGCCGAATTTTGTGGTCTTGGCTGGCCGACGCTAGAAGAATCGACGTGTCGTGCCGTGTAAAGTCCAGGCCGCGAATCCACCCTTTGTGCCCTAGAAAGACGAGATACCAAGATGGTCATTCTTTCATCACAATGCTCAAATGTCACTTTGAAGCTCGGACGTACCAGCCAACGACGTGACATGCACCAGGGCGGCGGCGGTGGCTGATGGGTCGAGCTTGTACAGATGCACTTGCAAATCCACGCCACCAAGGGCCACGAGAACGCCATCATCGGAGCCGTTCAGGGTGGTTGTAGCCAATGTTTCGACAATATGGCGTTGGCCCAGCGGCAACAGGCATGAGTGCGCGATCGAAGGAGGGGACTTGTCGTCCAGTGTGTACACCAGCACCTCCCCGACAGAGGTCGCAGCAAGCAGATACGTTTGGGTCGGCGTCGAGATGGAATTGACGGCGGAGATGGACGATGTGCACGTCGCAACCTCGTGCGAAATCCACTGGCCATCGTTGTTCAAGTTCAGGTGGAGCCGAAGGTTGCCGGCTGCGTCGCCAGACAAGATGATGTCTTGTTCGACGCCGTTACGTACATAATGGCTGTTCCAGTGCACTAGAGATATCGTTAGAGTGGCCAGTGGCGCGTCGACGTACCGCTAGATATGCGCGCCGGGTGGCCATGCAGTCGCGTGACGATGGAAGGAATGGCCGCCGGCACGGACGAGGCAAAGGACGCTATGGCAATCGAAGTGGACGCCCCAAAGGCAATCCTGTACGATGAGTCGCCGTGGCGCGATGGAATGGCTCTGGACAGACACTGCGATGCATTGTTACAACCCACGGCCGCGAACAACTCGTTCATCGTCATGACATGCATGTTGATAGGTAGGTATGCTCGATTTGTATGCGGATGGTTATCCGGTGAGTAATAAACGTCAAGTGACCCGAATTTGGAAAGTATTATTGCAAGGCAACTTCCTGCTTGACGGCTTTGGCTACAAGCAAAACACGCTAAAATAGGTTATAATATGAATATTTCAAGTCACTTGAATTTATCCAACCTTTCTCAGCCAATCACAGCGACTTGAGCTTGGAGCTCAACGATGTTTTGATTTGAATCGTCCCGCTCCGTTGGCATGGGCTTGCTACGACTTCACGTTGCCGCCGCTGGGGTGGTGGCATTCGCTCTGGCGTCATCATCCGCGGCCTCGACGCCAGCATCCTCCTCTATTCGATTTGTAGCACCAGACGAGATGCTTGGGTCTGGCTGTGCTTCCCAATCGGACTGTGGGTACCTTCCGGGCCTGGCCTGCGTTCGCTCGTACGTCGTCCTTGTCGGAGATGACGACTTTAACTTCCTGCTCTAGGACATGTACGCTATGTGATGTCGACGCGGACTGCGGCGCGACCCCGTCGGACACGTCCAAACGCTGTGTGGTGGACCACGGCACCACCACGGTGACAAGTGTCGACGGCACGACGACGACGTTCCGGCCCAACTCGGTGTGCATGGAGAAGAACTTGTTCGATCCGTTCACTACTCACGACGCAGTGGCGTCTCTACTTGCGTTCCTCTGCACAGCCCTTGGCTCGGCGGCAGGCACCGGCGGCGGCGGACTGCTGGTGCCCATGTACATCTTGGCGTTCGGCCTCGGCCCCAAGCACGCCGTTCCCATGTCCAAGACAACCATCTTTGGCGGCGCCATAGCCACGTTGATGGTCAACGTGATGAAAAAGCACCCTTGTACGAGTTATATATCTATGACTCCTGGACTACTGTACCGTGTATATGTTGTTGGAATCAGCTGAAAGGTATCTGTATCGTGGTTTGAATCAGGTGAATCTGCGTATGTACTTTGTTGCTAGACTCAGTCGAAATGTCACCAATCGTGTGGCTCAAATCAGTTGAAATCGACTCGATATATTAACAAGTCGATGCGAAATTGACTTGTGGAGTGTGCTCATTTCAATCGAATGAACAGAAAACCCAATCGGCAATCTGTCGATATATATTCGACCAATCAAAACCCAAGCCACGAATCAAGCGACCAATCAAATCCACGCTTTGACCTATCTAACATCGAATTCAGGGTGTGACTGAAATTCGTGTGATACTCGACGATCTTTACATGCAAAATTAAGTACAAAGAATCCATATATATCGATAGATTTGGCGAATCAGCACAAAAGTCCATATTTCTGGGAAAAGGATAATATTCTTTGTTGGAAAATATCAGTTGATATGTCTGTGTCGTTGTTGGAATCAGTGGAAATAAATGTTCAAACATTAGTAGTACCTATACTATACTAGTAGTAGTACTACTTGGATAAAAGGATCGTTTTGTGATATCTCAACGATATATTAGACCGAAGTCGGCGCCCGCTGATCGACTACACGCTGTCGGCCATGATGGAACCTCCGACTTTGATTGGAACGATCTTTGGTGTCATGGGCAATGCTACATTTCCATCGTGGCTCATTCTGGGGCTGCTGCTGGCTTTGTTGTCGTTTATGGCTGTGCGTACCCTCCAGAAAGTCCAACACGTGTGTACAAAACTATACAAAATTGATAGTCATGAACTCCTTTGACTCTCAAAACTACAAGTAGATTGACGCTTTGGAAAAAGCGACCACTCAGAGTGAAATCGTGCAGTTGATTCCGACCCAAACCTCCCGTGTCCCCGACCCGAAGGATATTGCGGTACGTCTATATATATATATCATATATACAGTCAAAGTAAGATGTATATATATATATATATAAGTGGCGGACTATGTAGAAGCAAGCTCGGATCCAGCAACAGGACTACCAAGACTTTGAAACTCTCGCGCCTGTCGTCGTGCCTGCCAACATGGGTATTATATCTATATATTATACTCTCAGCTTACGATTGTATTATATTTATATATTATGCTCTCTCAGCTAACTATGGGATGTTTGTGTACGTACACTGATGTACCAAATCCATCGATCGATTGTGTGTACCTGGATTGTATGTGTAAAAACCTTCACACTAATTTCAGGCATACACTACTTCGATGGTAGAATGGTTGAAGCGGGATTTTGATTGGTCACTTAATTCTAGTTCTGTGTTTTGATTGGTCGATCGATATTGTCTGCCAATTTGGGGCTGTTCGTTTGATTGAGCAGACCCCACTATCCAATTCTATATTGATATTTTACTTATATAATATTTTTTTAAAAATATATTTAATTCCATGTTATTCGATGGTTTTATTCACAGACTATTATGTACGTACTGTATCATGATGATGTAGACAAGACAGTATACTTTCGACAACTCAAGACCCAACTGGAAGACGAAGAAAGTCACGTGTTTCCGTGGACGTATGTCCTGCCGCTTGTGCTATGTTGGGTACGTACGCAATTGTCTCGCATTTGTTTCGTATAATCTTCGCATTTTTCGTAGCTCCTTATATTTGCGCAATCGCTGTTCCGAGGAGGCCATGGGACCCCCAGTGTTGGTAAGTTTGATTTCAAATATTGTCGTTTCGAGTGAAATTTGGTGTTTCTGGCCGATTTTTATTTGAATCGGCAGTAAAGTAATTTAGAAACGAGCAACGTATTCAAAGGTCAAGTATCATGTTATAAGTGAGACTCATTGCAGCTCTGAAGTGGCTTCTTGGAGTTTGATTGGCCAATTCATTATATTGGAGTATTTTGATTGGTCGATTGATTCTCTGATATGGAGCAGCTCATTCAATTCGTCACCCCCCATTCTCCAAATTTGGTTCGAATTGGCAATATCGCTTTACCCAAGCTTGACAGTATATGTTCAATGCAAACTTATACATGTAGATATGGCCTATGTTTGTATATTATTATTTAATATATTTTCCTTTTCGTATGTATTATTAACAAGATGGGATGCTCTAGTGGGCATTCCGTGCGGGTCGTCTACGTATTGGCTCTTGACGTGTGTCCCGTTGGTCGGGTTGATATTAATCACATGGTAAGTTCCATTCTCCGTCGACTATCCAATATAATATATGTCGAACCCGAAATATCTGTCTATGTGATTAATATATATATATATATATATTAATTTTTGAAATACTCAGGTTCATGGGCCAACGCTTGCGCGTGCGGAATCAACTGCGTGTCCTGAGCGGCGCCGACTTCGCCGTGGGGGACGTCCACTGGACCAAGAAGACTGCTCAGATTGTGTTTCCCATCTACTGTGTCGTGGCAGGCGTTGCTTCAGGCCTTTTAGGCATTGGCGGTATATATAATAACTGCATCTCATTATATATATATATATATATTGACTCTTGATGGGAGTAGGCGGGATGGTTCAAAACCCAATCATGTTGGAGTACGGGCTGCTGCCTGCCGTGTCGTCGGCCTCGGCGTCGTATATGATTTTGTTCACATCGTCAGCCACGACTCTGCAGTTTGCAGTCGCAGGCCAATTTCCAGGCCAACTGCAATATGGTACATATATGTATAAATATATATATTTTAAATATTTTCCTATATTTTTGGTGGTTTGGTGGGTCTGTTTATGTAAATAGATCCACCAAACCGCCAAAAATATAGGAGCGATCAAGTCCGATTAGATTTATAATATATATATTTGGCGACGGACGATGCCTGACAATTGTGGATGGTGGTGGTGAATACGTGGCGTAGATTACATCTTGTGGTACTCGCTCATGGGATTTTTGGGCGGGTGCTTTGGCCAAAACGTAAGATAATTTTATAAATATCTATATCTAGAAATAACATTCTTTTTGAAGTGCGTGGGGATTATCGTCAAAAAGTACAAGCGAAGCTCCATCTTGGTGTACGTGCTGGCGTTTACAATTGCGGCGTCAGCGGTGGCGATGGGCATTTCAGGCTACGAAACGGTGATTCACGATTTTACCAAGGGCGTGCACTTGGGGTTCTCCAATGTGTGCGGAAAGTAATAGATGCAGCCATCAAAGACATGGAGTCCATTGAAGGCGCTTCTAGAGTGGTTTGTTCGAGTGTAATTTTGATCAGTATACCCCCGCACATACTTATCGGGCTAGTTCACACTGATTGGGGGGTTCCCACCGGTGACACTTATACCGTTAAAGCTCGGGCGGCGGCCTTATCAGGGGGTCATTCGATCCGTATGCTCTTTAGATGAGGTTAACCTTTGGTCCTAACGTTACAGTACTTGCACGTTGAGTGTGTAACTCGTCCGCAGTGCTGTTGATTGAATCAATAACTAGTAATACTACTAGGTACTAGTAGTAGCTGAGCTGGAAGTCGAGGGTGTCAATAAATTGCCCGCCCCTTGTTTGACCGTCGTCGTACGTACTTCGAAGTAGTAATTGTAAATCGAGATATTCTTATTATATTAACCTAATTGTCAATAAATTGCACGCCAAATGTTTGTAGAACCTAGTCCTTAAAAATGATAGGCGGTTCACTATACAATTTTAATAAGACACCATGTCGCATGGGTTTCAATTGGCTGACTCGATGACAATGACGCGGCCGACATCGGCGGCGCCTCGATCATCCACCGTCATGTCGTCTGCGACGCCCCCTCTGTTCCGTCTAACGTGCTACATCCTTCTAAGCCTCCTCTTGTGCTTCTTTCTTGTGCTGCATGTCGTCGGCTCCGTCTTGGTGCTTCTCGCTGCGATTGTCCTCCGTGTACGCGCTCGCGCGACCACCACAGACTTCCCCGACCGGTCAAAGTCGTTGGTGTCCACGTACCGCAAGACATGGCTAGCTCTGTACAAGGCAGACGCGTACATCCTGTGCTGGTATAGGCCCCGCCTTGCCGACGAACTGCACGTTCCTCGCGACGAGTCCGAGGTGGCGGACGACCTGTGGGCTCATTTCGCGTACTTTTACCTGTGGCGCGGCGTGGTTGGCACGTGTATCGCCGCCGTGCCGACCGTGTTTTGGACCACAGCCGTGTCCTTCTTGGTCGCCTTCTTCAATGCGTCCCCAGCCGAGGACATCGTCGCCGACACGTTGCCGTCCCAACCCCTGCCCTGGACCCTACTTCTGGACGGCTGCGCGTACATTGCCCTGGGTATCGTCGTGGCCAACGCCCTCATACCGTGGTGTCTCGAGTGGTGTGTGCATGCCAACATGCTGCTGTTTCCCGCTGTCAACTACAATTTGCACTTTGAGGAAGGGGCGCCGCTGATCGAGCCCCCGTCTTCTTCGTGGACCCAACGAGCAACTCAACGTACGACGATGTCACCATCGTACTTGAATATGTCGTCCGATCATGCCATATACTCTCTCCCTCATCACCATGCTTCCTTTTATCTGTAGTCGCCTTGTCTGCTGCGAAAAGGCGCCCTGGAGCGGTGATGGAGAAGACATTTGACGATGCCGTCAAGTCGCTGGTCACGTCCAAGGGGGTGGCAGCAGAGCTCAAACGCGTACATCATCGCACTCTGGCCAAGCAACACACACATCAGACCCTGCTCCTCGTCCGGCGACTCCTCGAGCACTTCGTCACCACGGTGCCGTCGGGTGGTGCTGGCGTTAGCCACTGGGTCGACTCGACGGTGGCCCCGTTGCGGAAAAGTATAGCCGGCTACGACGATGACCAAGGGCGGCTAGCCAACCAACTCGAGCGCGTGGAGGCTTTGTTACGTCAACTGACCGATGGGTCGTTGGCTAAGTCTGGTGAATGTGGAGTCAGTACGTCGCCAATGGGGGTGACAGTCGTTCACGGCGCGCAACCTCCGACTAGCCATGTCGACTCTTTGTATGCAAATGCGGCTACGTTCCCCTCGTCGCTCGGTAAAGACTCGTTAGCTTCTCGTTTTTTCACACGACTTTTAGAAGGGAGGCCTCGGCAAGATGCTCAACGAACTACCGCTAGCGGCGACGGCAAGTCCAGTGTCAACGAACGCTCAGATCTTGAAGGCTACGACGACGACGTTGTGCAGGACATGACGCCACGTCGACAAAAGCGACCGACACAGTTGGCCCAGCTGGGCGCGGAAGAATCACCCGAGTATCATGTATTGTTGTCCCCTACGTCAGACGCTGCCACGTATGGCATGCTGTCGCCCCCAAACCGAGCCGACACGGGCATCTTTCGGTCCATCTTTTCGACCGAGTTGGTTGATACTAGTAGTAATACTAGTAGTAGTAGTAGTACTACTACTAGTCGAGACGACGCGGTGCACTTTCAAGCGTACGCGCCGCCCGTGGTGGCCGCGCCGTCCACGTTTGAGTTTGCCGTGTGGGCGTTTTTGGTGCACCAGCGGGACGAAGTGCGCGAACTTGCAGTGTCGTCGTCGGCATTGTCGCGCGAAGTGCTGTTGCCGGTGCGGCGCGGCGCGCTTGCGCACGTGACACTTGAGGTGCCACGTGGTTTTGCCATCCTGGACGAACCGACCAAGGCCATGGATTGGCAGGGCGACGTCACCACCGTCCAGTTCCAATTGCAGTGCACTTCAAGTTCTTCCAACGACGGCCAAGCGATGATTCAAGCCACGATCGTCGTCGGCGCCAAGGTCATGAAGCTCAAGGCGTACCTGTTTGTGAGTGGAAAACCAACCCACGCCCAGTCAGATGATGACGTGGCAGCGCTGTCGTGCGAGCTCGAGCGTCTCGAAGAATCGTTCCACGAGATTGCCTTTGACGACCTCGACGTCCACGACGGCCAAGTTGTCGGGGCAGGTCACTATGGGGACGCCGTCCGGGCAACTTATCGTGGTGCAGAGGTACGCCATCCCCACATCAAATATATATGTATATATATTAGTTAGTATATATGGTCATGCATTGAGCATATTAAATCATATTCAGTACGCCATCCCCACATAAAATATATATGTATATATATTAGTTAGTATATATGGTCATGCATTGATCATGTACACATATATCTTATTCAGTGAAAACTTGATAGTATAAAGGTGTGTATGCATATCTATGACCTATGACCCTCCCCCCATGTTGTTGTACTCGCCATGCTCTATCTTTAGATTGTTACACTCTTCAAAATAGCAATTACCACGCTTCCCACATACAGTATCATGTTGTGCCTAGTATTGTCGTTGGTTATATATCGTTGCTTTGTGATATCCTTTGACGTTACACGATGGGCGGATCCATCGTTGCATTGTCATGGCGGTCTGCAAATTCCAGTCCGTTCAATCGTATCGAATATATATATATATATATATATATATATAAGCTCCAGTCGCTTCTTCTTCTTTACTAGTATCGTGTTTTCTTATACAGTTAATCTTTTTTGTAGGTAGTGGTCAAAACCCTTCGACCCGACGCTTTTGGTTCCAACTCGGATCAAATCGTCCGCGAATTCCGCCATGAGGCCGCGGTGCTCAATATGTTTGGCCATCATCCCAACATCGTGCCGTTCGTGGGGGCGTCCACCGACCTCTCCAAGCCGTTGACCCTTGTCACATCGTACTTGTCATACGGCAGCGTGGCCGATTCTTTTACGGTATCATCGAACGTCAAACTCTCCTTGTCGCAGAAGGAAATCGTCTTGTACGACGCCGCCGCGGGCCTACTCAATGTGCACGAAGGCGGGTTTGTGCATCGCGATATCGCAGCCAGGAACGTCCTTATTGACCCCGTTGGTCGCGGCAAAGTGTGCGACTTTGGCTTGTGTCGCCGGGTCGATGCTTCCATTGGGGGGTGGCATTTTCAGCACGGACACTTGCCTCTCCGGTACATGGCTCCAGAGTCCCTACAGCCGCCGCACGCGTTTTCATTCAAGTCGGACGCGTATATGTTTGGTGTGTTGATGTGGGAAACACTCACCGAGGCCAAACCATTTGGGGCGCTGGCTCCGCAAGACGCTGCCGCTCTCGTGCTGGAAGGCCACCGGTTGGCCTACAACAACAAGGATGGCAGCAACACCATTATCCCCCCCAAGTACCAGCATCTCATGGAAGGATGCTTTGCAGAAGATCCGGCCAAGAGGTTGTCTATGGTGGAGCTCGTGCACGCGCTTGGGCGGTTGAATGTCGTCTAGCGTTGAAGGAGGACTAGTTAGTAGTATGAGTATTGAGGACGGGATAATATTATTTTTACACGGCATACAAGGCGTTGATTATTGGTATTTGAATTATATAAGAACCATCAAGGTAGGTACTATACACAGTTTACCACACTTTTCACGCTCCGGATATTTTGCTTTTCTTGATTTATTACAAACAAGATAATATTTCTACAGGAACCTATTCAATCTACTAGTAATAACAGTACGTAGTGCGTGAGTCAAGAGTGGGCTATTAATAGTACATACCCCCTTGGCCATCGTAAGGCAAATGCACCACGACGTGACGGTCGCCGCATTCGTATGCAACCAACGGGATTGGACCCATCCATCTCTTGTGCTATAAACTTCATAAAACGATATTGTGCTTTCGAGTGGTTTCTCGTTGGAATTTAAATCGATTTGATTGGCTACCTCAGATGAGCTCAAAATTATTAGCCAATCAAAACCTTCTCAATGAAATTCAACAACCAATCAGATCGATTGTGGATCGGTTTGGTCGGCGCGATTCGATTGCACCCGCTCCCCAAATTTGTACTATAAAATCGACAATATGTATGTATATATAAATAATAATAATAACAATCTCCGGGTCTTGTGTTGTCACCATGTTGTGAATGCGCGATGCAATTGCGTCATGGTCGGCCGTTTTGACGGGTCTTCGGCAAAGCATGCAGCCATGATCTTCTGGTACTTGGCTGGTATAATACTACTCCCGTCTTCTCGACGAGTCGACATATTCAACCGGCCGCCTTCCAGCACGTACGCGGCGGCCTGCGGTCCCGATAGGTCGGCAAATGGACTCGCCTCGGCAAACGTTTCCCATATCAGCACCCCGTACGAGTACACGTCGGACCCGTACGAAAAAGCATGGGGGGGGACTAGGGATTCCGGCGCCATGTATTTCAACGGCCCGACGCCCGTGGACACGTGGGACCCGCCCACGACGGCGTTGACCCGTCGGCTCATGCCAAAGTCGCATAGCTTGACGCGCATGGCGTCATCCACCAAGCAATTCCGAGCTGCAATGTCACGATGGACGAACCCGCCTTCGTGGATGTTGAGTAGCCCCGCCGCTGCATCTGCCAAGATCACTTGCTTTTGGGGCACACTCAATGTACTCGTCCTAGTGCTACTACTAGTAGATGTACTAGTAGGACCACGCAGCCATTGACTCTCGAGGCTCCCATGCGGCAAGTACGCCGTCACGAGCGCGAGGGGCTGGGAAGGATCGGTGGACGCCCCCACGAACGGCACGATGTTGGGATGATGGCCAAACATATTGAGCACCGCGGCTTCATGGCGAAACTCGTGGACGAGTTGGTCGGTCGAAGTGGAGTCACCATGGAGTGTCAAGTCTTGGGCTTTGAAGGTCTTGACGACGACATCGCGGCCGTTGTACACGGCGCGATACGCGTCGCCAAAGTGGCCTTCCCCGACCAGTTGTTTGAAATCGAGCAAGTCGTACGGGATTTCTTGAAATGTTGTCGGCAGCCTCTCGAGTTCGGTCGTCAGCTCGTGCATGATCCCGTTGTCGTCGTCGTCGACCACTAGACGGGGGATGGTCGTCGTGTGGACAAAAACGAACGACTTGACCACCATCACGTGGGCCCCAACGACAATTGTGGCTTTGAATAGCACTTGGCTCGACGACGGACAAGCCAAGCATGTGACGCTGAACGGAATGCTGGTCACGTCCCCCGTCCACGTAAACGCCTGGGTGGGCCCGTCGCCCTCGACGACAAACCCGTCGGGAACTTGCAACTGGACATGCGCCAGCGCCCCACGTCGGACCGGCAGCAGCACTTCGCGGGACAGTTGTCGACTTTTACTGTCCCCAGCCGTCGCTTGTTCGTGCACGTCATGTCTTTGGTGCACCAAGAACGCCCAGATTGAAAACAAAAATGTCGAGTGGAGGGCGACACTGGGCGGTGCGTAAGCAACGAAGTGCACGGCGTCCTGCTTGTTTAGACCTTTAGCATCCACACTTCGGAACACTTGGGGGGGGTGAAACTCTGGGCGATTGGGGGGCTTGTCCTGACGGGGGGGAGCTGCGGCACCTTGGGGGGAGAGCAGCCCATAGGCGGGCGAGGACGGAGAGTATACGGACGCCACGCTGGCATAGTTTGTAGGTGACAACCAAGTGCTTTCAGGTTCGGGGGGTGACGTGGCATGTTGCTGATGGGGGAGTGTAGAGGAAGGGGACGGCGCGCTGCAGTACACACCGTCAGGAACAGCGTGGGGCGACGGGGACTGGATGTCTTCATAGTCGGCATACTCGAACGCGTCGTATTCACGGGTGATATTGGTTGGCACAGTCACTTTGATTCGTTTGTCCGGTGCATCCACAATCGAAGTCGACTCGGCTGCCGAAGATGCATCGTAGGCTTGTATTTGGACGGACTGGGTGGATGACGACGTGGCGCTGTCTTGGCTTCGCTCTGTCGGCAGAGACGAGTACTTCGGAGGCGAAGAGTATTGAGGACTGCTTCGGCTGCTGCTAGATAAACGTGTCTGTGGTGTAATCGTCAGTGGATCGAGGAGACTGCCGAGCCTGGAAGCGTTGAATGGGCCGGCGACGGGGTAGTTGGAAAAGCTGTTGGTAGTACGGCTTCGATCATCGTTCTCACTGGATTCCTGTGCTAGCGGCAGCGAATATCGAGGGGGCTTCTGCTTGGTCACGCTATCGTTGCTACTATCTCTGGACACTGACGTCATGGACAGTGGTGGGGGATGCTGGTTCATGAAGGTGGACACGAACGGCGGCGCTGGCACGGCGATGCAATACAGTTCCCGATCTTCAACGTCTGTGGCCGACGGCAGCCGTGTGTAGTTGGTCATGGAATGATCGACGGTTGGAGTTGACGTGGTGGGAAGGCCCAGGTCGGTGGAGCTGTCTTCGATCTGGACGTACCGAAAAAGCGGTACTAAAACAACCCCAGTAATCCAATCGTGGACAATCGCCAATACGATTAAAAATGCGATGTAACCAATGACTATTCCCGCCATGGCAGCAGCTGTAATATCAGGGACTGCCGCCGCCGACGCCAACGCTAGAGTGGACAAGATGTACAACGTGCACAACACTGGTTTCCACAGCAAGAAGTACAGGGCCACGTTCGTTTTGTGGGCGGCCAACGCCGCCACGGACGGCGTCTTGGAAGGCACAGCCGCTTGCAAGTTGTACGAGTTGCGAATATTGATGTCCACGACGGCGTACTTCAAGCAATAGCTCTGTACACTGGCCTTGGCGTGGTGCCGATGGCCGTCCCGATGCTTGCGAAGGGGCCAAAAGAGCAGGCGCAAGATGAACCCAAGGGCAAGTGCAGCTAGCATCAGGTACTGCCACGCAGAACATATCAACGACATGATGTGGAAGCGCACGAAGCGGTAGATGGACCGGTCACCGCAGCATGCAAAGTCCCGCATGATTGACGCTGAGACGGTCGTTCAGCGCCGTCGCACTAGCCAGTGAAAGTCGAGAGTTTGAATTTGTAACGGTGCTATTTCGATGTCCTTTTATGTGGTAGGTGCGACTAATTGTGTAATTAATGAGATTGGCTGATTATTCTGACATTTTTTCACAGTCAATATACAGTGTTATTAATAGCAAACGGCATCATGACTTCGAAGGGAGAGCTAAAAGAAGGGACTGGTTGGTTCAGATTCGCAAACGTTACCAAGTTTCAATTTGCCAGATTCGATGGTGTTGAAGAGCTTTGGATTTCATTAGTATGTACTACGAGTACTACTATACTATTAATAGTACTGTGTACTGTTAATTTAGCACTACTTGGAATTTTAATATTAAAATTGTGCTTTATTAACATTAACAATATTGTGAGTTTGCTATAAACTCCCAAAATTCGCGTGGTTTTCAAATCAATATTCAATCACCAGGAGTTCTGATTAACGTTAGGTGACAGTGTGAATATACTTGTAAATTCAATATGAGCCAATCAAATCCACTTAAAATTGAATCAGCCAATAGCGTCGTTTTGAACCAATCCAGAATAAGCTAATTACGGAGTATTATATAACGTTACCACAGTTGGAAGCTTATTACTTCAAGTAATATTAATAAATAGTACTAAGAATATTAGTACTATTCCCTGTCAATAAACTGATAAAACTGGAATAGCTCGTTGGATTCAGTCACCGAAAGACTTTTTCATAGAACATTGATCGACATCTCAATTCGCTTCTGACATCCTTCTTAGCTGCCACACATGCCATTTAGACTGTGTCAATGACCCTTTCATTCCCCACTATTGAGAGCACGAATACATAGTACAACAGTCCAGTAGTTTTAAACAAAGAACGGATGGGAATTGAACGGCGCATCCGACGTAAACACGAATGTGCTTCCAATCTGAAACGTCCAAAGGTGGAGTGCACACAACTTGATTCGTGCATTGCCGTCGTGTGGAGTGCTCTGGAGTCGGCCAAGCAGCGACATGCATTCTAACACGGGTCAAATGTCCCTCTCGGAGCAACCTCACAACCAGCCTTGGGTCATTCTGGCTTTATGCGCACGCCATGTCGTCGTAGAAGTACTTCATGGTGTTGTTGAGCTCTTTTCTTCGTGTTTCGAGTCCCTGGCATTGTCAGAATTGGCATGAAGGGGTTGGAAGGGGCATGGATCGAAACGTGGGGTGGCGCTCTTTGCGAGGGATTTCTCCTAAAGATACTCTCCCGCGTTGTGATTGGTCCAAAAACTGTCGTGACGTCATGTTGAGGTGGAAAACTTGCCAAAACCCATACGTACCTCTATCTTTTAATCTGACGACCCAGGCGGGGTGACATTACTATCCCACATGTCGGCGACAGGTTTCATAGACCTTGCACTTTGAATGATGGCCTTGCTGGCAGACTTCAACCTCATGTCATCCGTCCTCCATACACAAAACAGGACCAAGATTCCATTCCGTAGACTAAGATTCAACCCACTGGTGTGGCTTTTATCGAATCCAAGTCCAGCACGAGCCCAGCAACAACTTCCCTCAGTCCTTCAGTTGTGAAGTTAAGGCATGGCTGTCAAGACTACTCCCCGCGCAAACCACATTCCCAGCGCCCACAAGGCTGGCATCTCCGTCAAGGCGGGCGGGTCCCTCGGCGGCAACGCCCGCGCGTCGCGTAGCTATTACCATTACAAGCGCTTGTACGTTGCGGCCGCGTCGGCCGTTGCCGTGCTCGCCATCTTCGACTGGATCCCGAAATCCTTCCCGACCAAGGACACTGTTCTCGCTCCGTTTTCGTTTTTCACGCTGCTGCCCATGGCGATTCAAGTGATTGGGTTGACGCTAGTGTTTGCGATCGCGGCGTTCTTCGCGACATCCGGCCGTCCGTTCCTCTTGTTTGCATGGAACTGCTTCATTCGTCCGTTCTTGCATGCCAAGAAGGCCAACGGTGTCGACTCGGACGAACATCAAGCTCGATTGGAGCAATTTTACGAATCCCAAGCCGATATCTACGACGTGACGCGCCGTCGTCTCCTCCGCGGCCGCTCCACCATGCTCAAGCTGTGCGCGGCGCAGTTGTCGCAGTTCTACCCGGTCCGCCAGCCCACCGTGTCGAGCGACTCGGACGGCGACGTCATGATGTCCCCGCGGTACCCTCCTCGCGGCGCCAACCGCCGGTTCGCATGGATCGACATTGGCGGCGGCACGGGCGAAAACATTGAGCGCATGAACCAGTTCTTCCCCATTGCCAACTTTGACAAGGTGTACTTGGTGGACATCACGCCGTCGCTGTGCGAAGTCGCGCGCAAGCGGTTCGAACGCCTCGGGTGGGCTAACGTGACGGTGCTGTGCATGGACGCGACCAAGTTTACCGTGCCGGAAGAGGACGGCGGCGGCGACGACATGGAGATTGCGCTCATCACGCTCAGCTACTCGTTGAGTATGATGGAGTCTGTGTTTGGCCTGGTGGACTCGCTCACCAACATCTTGTGCCCCACGGGGATCCTCGGCGTGTGCGACTTCTACGTGTCGCCAAAGCGGTCGGCCGACTCGACGCGCCAACTGAGCTGGATCATGCGTTGGTTTTGGCAAATTTGGTTCGACCTAGACAACATTTACTTGCACCCGAGCCGCCGCGAGTACTTGGAGTACAGGTTCAACACGATCAAGGCTTTGAACGGGAAGAACCACTTTATTCGGCCCATCGTGCAAATCCCCTACTATGTGTGGCTAGGCGCCCAGAAAAACGTACCAGTGCCCGTGTGTGACGACGTTGCCGACGGCGAGCGCGGCGTCGAGACGGAATCCAACGCAAGCAACAACTCGAGCGACGATGACGCCGCCGAGGTGATGGCCGTGGAAGGTGGCGGCGGCGGCACCCTCGTCACGTACCAGCACGTGCACGGCAGCGGTCAAAAGTGGAGGCAGCCGTTCGATCCGAAGCTCCTTGCGCGCTTCGACACGTACATTTACTGCTTTGCATGGGAAGACCCGCGCGTGGATTTGGAGTTCCTGAACTTGACGCGCGACGACCGGATGATGGTCATCACATCCGGGGGATGCAACGCGCTCGAGTACGCCGTCCAGGTCGGGCCCGCGCGCATCCACTGCGTCGACTTGAACCCGTGCCAGAACCACATGCTCGAGCTCAAGTTGGCGGCGTTGTCGTCGCTGGGATACGCGGACTTTTGGAAGTTGTTTGGCCAAGGATACGTTCCTGGGTTCCATCACCTCGTGGACACGCACTTGAGTCCGTTCTTGTCCCCACATGCCTATCATTTCTGGAAGCAACATGCGACGTTTGCCAACTTGTTTGAGACGGGGTGCTCGGGACTGGCGGTGCGCGTGTTCAGGTTCGTTGTGGCCGCCCGCGGACTCAAAGCCCAAGTGCGCGCACTGTGCGAAGCCAAGGATTTGGAGATGCAGTGGCATGTGTGGACGACGGAGCTGCGCCCGCACATTCTTAGCCGATGGCTCATTGCCCTCCTCAACAACGACCACTTTTTGTGGGGCGCGCTGGGCGTCCCCCCCGCGCAGATGCAAATGCTGCTGGAAGAAGGCTCGGCGCAGTCGTACATTGAAAACACGCTCGACCCTGTCATGAAGCACTCGCTGCTTCGCACAGACAACTATTACTATTACTCGTGCCTCATGTGCTGCTATAACCACCAGAACGCGCCGTCGTATCTCCAGGAAGATGGGTTCCGTGTCCTTCAGACCGATCCGACCCGCCTCGATGCGATCAAAATCCACACTGCCACTGTCGTCCAAGTTCTCACCCGCGACATCCCAGACGAAGACCTCACCCGCGTGATTCTTATGGACCATTTGGACTGGTTTTCCGAGGAAGACGCCGAAGCGGAAATCCGCGCCGTGTCGCAGAAAATGAGACAAGGTGGCCGCGCGTTCTGGCGGTCTGCCGGCAAGTACCCGTGGTACAATTCGCTGTTTGAAAAGTGCGGGTTCCGCGTGTATCCGTGCCAGATCCGCCAAGGCGACCACTTGTACATTGACCGAGTCAACATGTACGCGAGCTTTTGGGCCGGTGAAAAGATGTAGCGAGGCTCTTGCTGGACAAATATAATATATATATATATACTTCGAAGTATGAAATACTGTACTGTACTGCGTTGCAGTGTCCTTGTCCGAGTGTAGTATTGCGTATTATAATTCACTGTCAATAAAGTCTAAGGTATCTTCAATCGTGATACTCCCTAACTTGGTATGGTGTGGAAATATAATTCACGGAGCGTTTTTTTACTTGAAAATTTAGATTCGGTACGTCAAAGTATGTGTGATTTGAATGCAATAGTAATACGGTTTGGATTTTGAAAGTTCTACCTTCAAAGTTTGGACCTAAGTAGACCCAAAAACAGCTCAGAAAATCGATCCGTTACCATATCGACACAACCAAATTTCACAAGGATTGGCAGAAGAATTTAGCCAATCCGATTGCAGGAAATCATCACTTCCACCAATCAACAACTATTGTAACTGCTGGATACTACGTCTGTTTGCAAATATTGCAAGCAGACATTCCGCCCATAAATAAATCTGAGTATATCGAATTTAAATACATATACTAGTACTGCATATAATAATTTTCTGGAACCATATGGCATACCCAGCTCTGACAGGTGCTGCAGCTTCAGCCTTCATTGCTTCCAATGCTTGTGCTCAATGGGCTTGAAATCCTAACGCTATATCACGATAAATGAATTGTAATAGCTTACTATGAGATGTCGAAGCCCTTCTCAATACCCATTAATGGTTGTGGTTGCATGCATGCGCCGTGTAAACTGATGAAGTCCCTAGGTAAAGAAGTATCCCACCTGAAACTGCTTGCAATATTTGCAAAACAGATGTAACTACTGTAACGCTAGTATATTTTTACATACTACATACCAGTACTAGTACACGTTAGTATATTATTACATACAGTACAAAAATCGATCGTTATATTTGGCGAATCAATGAAACATAAAAGTCTAAGTTCTGGCTGAAACGACAATATTTATGGCATACTGCGGTGGCCGTACCTTTGGTGTTCATCGTCACCGCCCTTAACGTTATTGTGGATCATCTACAAGATACTTCGAGGTTCTAGTATTGTGGAGTTCGACGATGGTTGGGGAGATTGATCTTAACGTTAAGGTTTTTGGACGACCAAAAATAGTAAGCTTACCATTACCGTAACAGGTATTCAAATCATGTGAAATGACCAAGGAATGAATAGTTGTTCGTGGTAGTGGTTTGCGTACTCAACACAGTACAGTTAGGGACTGTACTACGTTGTTCGTTGGTGTACGGGTCAGTGGAGTTCTGGAATGTTGCTATGTCGTGGTTTTCGTAAACTCACTCGGTAACGTTATCTACCTACTATACATATCACTGTGTCATCGTTGTGTGTTAGGTTCACTTTTGATGTGCTGTGAATGTCTACTCCAAGAGAAGAGTACTAAGCTTACCAGGTACTAGTAACTAACTACCTATAACTACAGCTATTCTACTGTAGCAGACTCCCACCATCCGTACAATAATGACAAGAGCATTTCTCTATGCAGCTAGATCATTGGTAGTTACTATAGCCACCCGACTAACCACCATCGACAACACTTGCGCCTCCTCTGTAGACGTTGTGCGATTTGGATCGTGAGTTAGCATTAGACGTTGTAACGTTGTAGGTTGTTTAGTTGCATGTCATTTTTTGATAAGATGTCGAGCTGAGTGGCGTTGGTATTTCGAGTGCGAGAGGCAGTAAAACGTGATCGCGGCACCAACACAGAACGTCACGGGTCCACCTCGTAGTATGTACTGGCACAGCCACCTACATACCGGTACAGTAAGTTACTTCCTGCTAACGTTACCTCGTCGCGGCAGCTTAGACTTTCAGTTTGGCATATTTTGAGCCCAAACTTGAGACATGTATGGAATACAGCCAATTTCACCACAAATGCGACAACTATTGGACTATTTTGACGGGTTTCGTTATGCAAGAGGCTGACAGGACATGGAAATCCACCATATAAGATTATCTCCGAGCAGCGACAATATGTTCATTTTCCAAAATGCACCCAACCATCCACTCCTCCAAATCCCAACTCAGCTACATTCTGCACCCCAATAACTCGGACGACGACGATTGCACCATCGCCGCCACCCCATCACCGCCTGCCTCCAAGACTTCGCCGACCCCCACGATGTCCATGGCCCAGCTTGACCTTAGCAGCCCACAGTCGTCATCCATCTCCCCAGCCCGACCGCCAAAGAGCTCAAGCGTCAAGCTCATGTACAACCGCGTGCGTCAACGCGGAGTCAGGCAAAAGGAAAAAGTCGAACGTCAGCTTCTCCGCCAACAAGTGGAGACTCTTCAAGTCCAGCTACGCCATCTGCAAGCAAAACAACGACAAACAAGCGCCGAGGGGCGAAGAATGCGATTTTACGGCTTGCAGCGGTGGCAAGGACCTGCGGCAGCCCCCACCAATAAAGGCGACTCTGCTGCTTTTTCCGATCACTCAAATTGACGAAGCGTAATCTATATCCACTATAAGGACACCAACGCGTAACGCTACAAAAATATCGCATGGTCATCATATCAACTAATATTCGAGTCTTCGGATTCAGGCAAAGTGTCGTCACTATACTTGAATAAAGTAATTCCGCCTTCGGAATACAGGGACGGCTACCAGTCGAGTGAGTTTTTGGAATATCCGAATTCCAAAATTACCTTAAATCCAATTTAATATGCGACGATAAACATGTGGAACATCCCGCCCTCCACGAATACGTTAGCAAACTACGGTAGGATAGTTCACCCTGCTACAGTATGTACTATTAATAGTACAGTGTAAGAGGGTACTAGTAGGCTACTAGTAGAGTCCAACTTATTGTCGCTAGTAGTACAGTACTAATACCGTAGACAACGATTCAGGGAAGCCATACAGTACAGTATAGTAGGTAGATTCATTAACGCAGAAAGTTATTGACTTTTTCATGTGGATAACTAACTGTAAATAAATAAATACTTCGTATACAAGCACGGAAGATATGTTCAGTGGTGCCGCCAACCAGACGATCTGGACCCCACGTTGATGGAATAAACACAGGGGACCAATTCCCCGAGTGAGTGGGTGACACACCCACTCAATTGGTCAAATACCCACTCACTAAGGGGGAATTTGGTCCCGTTGACCTAAAACGTCCCTAAGTGGGTGGTACTAATTGCTTGCTAACGTTACGATAAGTATTCCTAGTAATACAATCCTAACACTGTAAAGTACAATCCTAACTTTAAAACGTTAAACACCGTTACGAAGGCATACAACGTTGTAAAACTTTAATCGTACCAACGGTGAATACTACTACTGTTGTTGCTTGTGTAGATTGATGCTCCGAATTACTTCGAAGTATAAGGAACATTTGTAGTTGTCGAAATATACTTTCGTCGTTCGTGTATATCACTGCCACGAAGCCTAGCGACATTAATTGTATTTCCCCGATAACGTTAGACTACTTACTCATGGCTGCTGCCGCCTTGTGTGGTAAAGCTTACTTTTAATAGCATTTCCCCGATAGACTACTCATGGCTGCTGTCACCTTGTGTGGTGTAAGCTTAATTTAAGTGATGAAGTATTCAAATCCCATCAATTTACTACTCGGAGGAATGATGATAGGATACAATGTTGTGAGGACTGTAGGTTGATTTGCTGAGTAATTTCGCGATGAATACATATTTGCCCCCCTCAAAGTACAGTCTAGGATTCAATGTAGTTATGGGGAAGGGCTTTGAAATGTGAAGGGGTGGCGCAACTACGATTCAATCTATCCCAGCTAACGTTACACCTTAAACCAGCACCCCCAAACTTAAATGCCCAATACTTCGAAGTATTAGTAGCATGTACAGTACCAGCCCCCTTCACTTATAGCTACATGTACTGCATTTGTTCACCTAATTATATTCGTTTAGAATCTCGTAGAGTGCTCAATTATGACTATCGTATGCCGCTAGTAAACACGTACGCCTTGCGTCTACTGTCGATGGATCGGAAGGTCATCAAGGCTTCAAACTATATATTCACTACAACTACCAAACGCTTGAAAATCAAGTGAAGCTATATTCAAGTAATATACAGTATAATCATAATCTAAATTTCTGTACACTAGTGTGGTAAAGGGCAGAGACAGCCACCCGTCGGCTGAAACGATTGGCCATACTCAAAACTACAAATGCTACAACAATCTAACCCTCAAATAATGCAAGCCATAGTTTTGTTGGAGCAACTGAACTACTGTACAGTATAGCCGTAGAGCCACTCCCACAGAAAATCACTGCAATAGATAAATTTGTCATATTCACATGCACAATCAAATTGCAAACAATGAATGTGCGGGTCGACACTTGATCATTCGCAACGTGCAACAATGCTCATCAATGAGAAATGACGCCGTTGATCCAATACATCAAAATGACAAATTAATAAGGCAACGAACTATACAAGGACAATACATTGTGCCAAGGCTTTAGTTTCGTAGCGTTGCGCGTCAATAAATGGGATCTATCCAAGTGCTGTAATTCAGATTTTCATGCCTGTGAAACTGTCACTACTTAACGTACCATTGGGGATGCCCGTTCGTGAAGTGGTCGCGGAATATTTCTGTCCATACAAGGGGCTGATCGCGGAATATACCTATATTGATGAGATGAATGCAACAAGTACAGGGGAGTGGCTACATGCTTATTGGGGCTACGCTGTGCCCGTATGTAAGGTTTAGCTAATGAGATGTGACTACCCTAACTAAAGTAGCTACGCAGCTAGCTACAGTTGAAGAGTGGAGCTGCAATATTATCGGCTTGGATCTAGCCACAATAACTTACTAGTACTGTACTACATATTATTATAGTACTTCGAAGTAGTTAGTACTAGTATTTTTTTAGTATTTATTTACCTGCTCAATTGTGGTAGTATGCCTTCGTAACGGTGTTTAACGTTAGGAATGTACTTATCGTAGCAATCAATTAGTCCCCAATAATATCAAATTCCCTGAGTGGGCATTTGACCATTTGAGTGGGTGTGTCACCCACTACACTCGGGGAATTGGTCAAACAATGGGCGTCGATTCGTTACCTACTTCGAAGTATTATGTATCCAGCTCTCGTGCACTACTACCGGTAGTACCGTCAACTGATGGTACACATATAAGCTTCGTACCTTTCGCCAACCATAATGTTATCACAGTTTGCAGTGTTGGTGTACCGGTAGTTCAAAACCAATGAAACATGACACTTCCCCCGATATATTCGATATTTCAATGCTAGTTACTGTAGGTGGTGCCTTCGAGTCTCCATTATCCCTCTTGCTGTAGCAATCAATGATAGTAATGATATGTCTGGTTTGGGGCTTCGAAGTTTCGGGGTGGACAGCCCCCATATCTGGGCGGCAGACACTGTGGAGTTGGCAAAGGCCGACAACTCCGTGAGGGTAGTTTGGGGGCTGCAGTGTACGTTGGCAGCAACGAGGTTGGTACTTTCAGCAGTTCGCCTCTGAATGGAATAGAGTGGGGCGCGCGTGTACTTTGCATGTAAATACTATACATGGATGGGTTGACAACTTGGCATGACCACGCAATGGTCAAGATATTCCAGTTCCCCGTGGTTTACTCATTACTCAATGTCCTATGGCGAGCAACCACAGAAACCAACGACCCAGCGACGACAGGGGCGGACGTTGCCAAGGTAGCCTCTAGGGCTTGTCAAAGTACTTTGAATACTGAGTAGCGGTCTTCCCCTTTTGAATGCTGATTGTGAAAATCCCGACTTGGCGATGGAAAACTCTATATTATTCACTTGACGGCTCGCACGACTCAAATTTTTAGATATAAGGTGTTTCATGAAATTTCCGCCCAGCTTGTGTCAGCCCATCGTTGTATCGCTTAGCTCGACGATTTTTTCAATTCTGTAATTTCCCTATGTAAATGTAAATTCCGCCCAGGTGTTTGACTTGAATAACGTATGACAGATTTGACCACGGAAATTCTCAGAGCCTCTTCATAGTAACGTTAATCTTTATAAAATGTACAAGGTACATTCAATTTAGAAGTCATTGTAATTATGAGATTACATGAGTTGTCAAAGAATGAAAATATTAAATGCTAAAGGTATTATTTACCTGAGTACCATACTTTATATCCAGTCATCTTCGTTTGATGATTGTGATTGGCTACGAACTGGCCGGAAATTTACATGGTGGACAGAAATTACATACATCACCTTATATATATATATATATCATATTTCTCGTCGCATGGCCACGAACTACTACACTATATATTATTCCCACATCCTACGACGACGACGACGGCACGAGCGTATACACGAGCTCCAGCGGCACTCGTTTCGTAGTTGACAGCTTAACTTGCACGGGCTCAAACAAGGTAATCGGGACCGTCGCACCTGAGGCAACCGTCAAGCTCAGGCATTTCTTGACGTCGTCGAACTTGAAGTTCGTGGCCACGTCCGGCGCGTCCACGCGCTGTTCAAATCCGAACGAGAGGAACATGAGCGTGAAACTTCTGGATCCGACGCCCACCACCACGGCCGTCGTGGCGACTTCCCCCTTGTGCTCAACATACCGAGCCAGGTAGATGAGGTCGCAAGACTGCTGGGCTCTCTTGGACCGAAGCTTTTGGAGGTTGCACGTGTCGACCATCTTGGGCGTGACTGCAACAGACGAAGTAGATCCACTTAGCGACGCTTCCAACAGCCGATGTACCAATACGTCTGCATATCTAGGGGAATATATATATATATAATCCATGAAGGGTATATATATACATATAGTCCATCTATATGAAGCAAGGAAGCCACATCCAATATGCAAACACTAGTTGGTGCCATTCTCGACGAGAAAAAACGATATATATAGTATTATGCAAGAAAAGTAACCCACAAGGAGGGAGCAAATGATATAAATATATATATATATATATATGTATATAATAGATAGATACAGTGTGTCATATTGAAAGGGTCTGTCTATATATGCAACGACAACAAACATATATATTGTATCTATAAATATATAGAGAGAGAGATACAGTGCATCATATTGGAAGGTAGTATATATACAACGACTACAAAGAAATATATCGAAATATAATGAACTACCTTCGAATGGGCGAGGTAAAATGCGTATAATACGGCAAATTCAACGCAAAATGGCGATGGCGATCCGTCAAATGGCGGTCCTCCACGATGACATATTCAGCTGTAGCCATTGGTTTCGTCAGCACGTGGCGCACAGTTTGCAGCACCACCGGGCCTCGTTCTCGTTCGAGTTGGGCTAAAAACGGCGTCAAATGCTGTTGATTGGTCAGATGGACTCCCATTTTGTCCAATTGGGAGAGGGCATTGCCCCACTTGGTCTCGTCAGGCGGCGAGTGGGAGCGCAAGAGCGCGCAGGGCGGGCCATGCTGCAGAAGCTGCTGCGCCACGAGGTAGTTGGCCAGCAACATGAACTCTTCGACGAGGTAGTTGCTTTCCCGCAGAGGGTACTCGGTCATTCCCACTGGATTTCCGTCGTTGTCCAGTTGAAAGCTCAGCTTTGGACGAGGCAGTTGCACCGCGCCAGTGGCAAACCGTTGGCGGCGGCGGGCCATTGCAATGTCCCCCAACTGCCGCACACATGTCGCGATAGATTGTTTCGAGTGGCCGCCCGTGGGCGGTCGAGGCCTGTGAAATATTATTATTTCAAAAATCGTATCAGAATATATAAGAGAATAATATTTATTATTGATACCAGGCAATGTCGTGGGTCGTGGACGAGTCCAGCAAGAGTTGGGCTGTGGCGTAATCCAACTGACAGCATGACCGAATGATTGTTTTGCCAAACCAAATAGGCGCATCCGCCACCATCGTACCGTCCTTGCGCATATGCCACAACACCTACGATACATATACATACATACATTCCGTGTTTCAGTATACAAATAAGTTCCTGCAAAAAAATACATTGTTAGGTGTACAAGTTATAATATATATATATATTGTTTTGATGATATGCCACATATATATATATATATAAATAAATAAATTCCTAGCTAGCTATGCCCCTAAGTGACTCCATCAGCCTGTAGGTTGAATAATACACTTGATATATACCCTGCATAAAACAAAAATATATATTCGTATTGTTGATTTTCTTCAAATTCCGATTTTCTATGGTTCATTCAACCAAGCACAAACCGGGTAGATACATCTGATTGGCTAATATCCACTTGGCCCTTTCCGGTAGAAGTCCACAACGATATTATTGTAGCCAATCATCGACAAGTAATTTCGGATTGACCAATGGGAGAGGTAGGCGCGCAGTTCGGTAGATTCGATTGGACGGGGGGTGAGACCGAATCTCCAAAATACATTCAATTGTCCACTATACCATCTATCGTACACGCACGATATCGCGCAGCCACATATATATATATATATATATACATTCACACCGTTTGAATACTTTGTAGCCAGAGACGATTGATATATATATATATATATATATATTTGAATCGACCTTGCAAACAATAGGAAGACGCCTGGATAGTATCATACTGTATATATATACGTACAGTAAACGCGAGTCGATCTACCGATGCGTTGAGCGAGCACAGCTGCTCACACAGCACTCGGGGCAGCATCGGCAGCACCTGGTTGACAAAGTATACGCTCGTGCATCGCGCTTGCGCCTCCACGTCCAGCGCACTCCCGGGGACAATAAAATGCGACACGTCGGCGATGTGCACCCCCACTTCGAACGTGTCGTCATCGGGTAAGCGGCGGATGGACATGGCGTCATCTAGATCCCGCGCCGTCGACGGATCGATGGAGAAAACTGTCCAACCGCGCAAGTCCCGCCGCCGGTCGAGTTCGCTTTGTGGGATGGTCCACTCGGTAGCCACTGGCAAGGATGCAGCAATTTCTGGTGAAAATGGTTCCAAGTGTCGGAGCAACGAGTTGGTTGTGAGCAACGCCAAGAGGTCAGAGTCAACCTGGGATGCCGGGCCTAAAACTTGCACCAGCACACCCTACAAAGTGTCCTAGTCAGTTCTACTCCATACCACACATCGAAATACATATGTATACTCTTTTACCAACCATGAAACAGGTATGAAAAAACAAAATATTTGAAAAATATAAAATTGAGGTATATATATATATATATTGGTATATTGTCAAGTCGATTTGAAAGTCCAGTGCGGATCGGTCCATCGAGAATGAGCAGTATAAAACAAATCGGCACACAATCGACCGACCAATCAAAAACCCCAGATCAAGAATCACGTGGCCAATCCAATACCACAATTCCACCTCGAATTAATGTGTGACTGCAATTAGTGTGAGTGACACTGGTCCAAAGTCAGTTCAATATGCATCGATCGAGAATCAAGAAAGTTCAGGACCATACCGTGGGCGATTTGTAGTGAACCGCCCACTGGTCCAACTTGACCAGGCATAGCATTGTCGTCGCAAACAAGTGGGGGTTGCGATGGTACTCTGGTGGCATGTTGTGAATGCGCATGCCCCGGGGAAGTCGCTTGTCGAGTGCATCAAACAGTGTCACATTTTGTTTTGTCACGCGGACGACCCCCACATATGACACGTCAGCTCGTTCTAAAATGTGCACCACCGACGCTGTGGGTTGGGCTTTCTGTCCAGCTTTGAGATGGCTTTGCACAGCGTCGACATGCGCTTGCAGCCGGTCGATTCCACTACCAACTGCCACGTCATGTCGAGCAGAGGACGGAGAGGCGGCAGGGGGTTGGGACGGCTGCACCAACGGGTTCCATAACGCAGCCAGGGTCTCGGCATCCGAACTGATACACGCAGGGGAAGGCGTTGCTGTAGACGTTGCTAGCGACGAGGATTTCGTGCGCCACTTGGTTTGCGGCAACCCAACCAACACGACCGTATCTCCGTCCAACGCTCGGTTTTGACGGGAAAGTCCATCGATAAACAGATCCCGATCTAGCCCTGGAATCGTCACGTACGCGTCCATGCGGTTGTGCTTATTGACGCGAAGCACGCCTGAGACAAGGGAGCCGTCACAAAGGCCGCGGACGACGTCGTCATAGGCCAAGTGGGGCTCATACTCGGGAGTGTACTTCTTGGCATAGTCTGTCCTGGATTTCGCCTTCTTCGGGATGGCTATGGCGTTGTTGAGGTCATCGTGGGGGCCTCCCCCACTTCCTCGATGTGGTGGTGAAGGAAGTTGTTGCCCTAGTGTATCGTGGATGAGACTCCTCGTGGTATTCGCAAGTGTGGGGATGGATGCAGTCGACGGAACGTTTGATCTGTGACGAGGTTTTGTTGCTGGCTTGAGTTTGGCCTCGATTTGGAGGGGCGGCGGCGGCTTTTGATTTGGAGGCGCGACGGCTGGTTCAATCGTGTTGGCATCTCCTGGCAGTGTCGATGATGATGGAGGAGGCGGAATGACCTTCTTCTTTTTCTTCTTCTTTTTGTCCACGTTGGATACACTCGGCGCCGCCGCAGATGGCACGGACGCGTGAATGCGAGCAGGTTGGGGTGGCTCCTTGTTGGAGACGCTGGAGATGTCGTTCGAGGTGGTGGACTGATGGGATGCAACTGTTGTGGGAATGGGTGGTGGTAGTGGGAGAGTGTTCTCGGTGGGAACGGTTCTGGATGGAGCGGGGTGCTGTTGCCACGACGCGGCGTTGGCTCGCTTGACATTCTTCTTGGCGTGCTTCTTTGCACTCGGTTGTGGATCGATCAGAGGGCCACATATGTGTGCTGGAGAAGATGCAAGAGTTCCCGTAGATGGCGTTGCGTCATTCGGGTGTGCCATCGTGGGCTGATGTCCACCTTTCTTTGCTTGAGTGGGTTTTAGCTTTGCAGAATCCTGAGGTGTCATCATGTGCGGACGACCATCACTGGCCTGTCGATCACCATGCACTTCATCGTTTCCCATTGAAGGTCGGTCTGTCTCTAAAGTTTCCTCCGCGGCCCTCCTTTGCTTCCACGTCGCCTTGGTCTTACCATTGGCCTCCTTCCTCAACATGCTTTTGTCCATGATGAAGGTTCCCAGCACTGTACGGTGCTGCATTCACTGTCAGACTTACCTTATTTCGTGGTGAGTTATTTCAACAAATGGTGGTTATATTACGAACCACAATCAGCCAATCGAACGACTGCATACGCATCATTCAGGGGGTTCTCGTTGTAACGTTATGATACTAACTGTAAACACGTGACGGATCTGTGATTTGCCGAAAGATCGGTGATTTGCCGAGCTGCACTACCCAATAGAATTCAAGAATTGATATGATTGGATAAAATAAAAGCCTGCAACAACTAACACCTTCAAAACATTATGATGGGTATAGTACTATTTTAAAAAGGTTATCACCTGTTTTCAAATCAAATATGACCTGTAAAATATTATCTCGTCATACATATAATATTGCTCTATAAATCAATAATTTTGATTCAACGAAGCCGTAAAATTCCAATACTGAATTCAAGGTTAAATTTCGGCAAATCACCGATCGCCTGTTTGAGCGCCTAACTTTGACATTTTATTTGCCCTGATTCACACTCTTACTCTTGATTTGTATTCGGACGATGCTATAGAGCTAAAAAAGTTGAGTTTGGGACTGCAACTTTTACGTCGAGATAATTTGAACTTCGCCAGATATGGTCGATTGAATGGAGCTCAAAATCGGCAAATCACAGATCCGTTACCGTATTAATAGCTGAGGTGCACAATCCGGATAAACATTATCCGGGAATTTTTGGTAAATGCCTCGTTTTTCGAAGTATATATTGCTCCTAGGCGAGTACCTCCTGCGCCGCTCCTTCGCTCCATTCATATTCATGCAAGTGTACTCTGCCAAAGCGGCCCCTTTGATTCGATCTACGGGCAAAGTTGAAGAAATGAGCCATTTATCATCCATCGACAGTAAGTCATTCTGTCCGGATAAAAGTAATCTGGGTTGTAGAACTCCGATGACTTATACTTCATGGTTATGTTCACTATTAATATCAATGCAGATACTATTACTTCAAAGTAATAATAATAGTACTATTAATATTTGCTATTAATACTACGTAGTACGTAGTACTGGTATTCACCTGCAGAGAATTGCATTGTTAGAACCACTTTCGACAGGTCACGAAAATAGTGTTGAAACTCTAGGCGCTGGAGACGATGGAAGGTAGATAGTGAATGAAGTTCAAGTTGATGAAATATTCTTATCATCTGACGTGTTTGGCAGCATTATGTACGCCCGCATGGATAGGCTGGGTTCTTTGCTGCAGTGAAGTTACTCAAACACGCGGTAAAAACAGCCACCGCGGCGCATACTGTGCAAAGTTATTCCAATTGGTAGATTAGGTATCGACTCAATAATATCACGTCGAACTTGAATTTGTTCAATACATTTAAACCAATTCACTTTAACGTTTCCATTTGAAAGCGAAGAAGTGTGAGGAAATACAAATGCATCCCTCGACGTTTGCATCATAGTTAAAGTTATTTTTTCCAAATAATCATCATAAAATCCGCACACTCTTAGACAAGGAAATGATTCTTCATTTACAAGATGATAAACCCGACAATCCTTTTCAACACTTGCTGTTTTATGCCATCTCAAACGAATAGAAACATACGCACCATTTTCAGACCTCCCCAGAGCGACGTCATTCCACTTCAACGCAAGCATTTCGCCCATGCGAAAAGAACCAAGGTAGCAGCACGAGAGCATGACCCGATACAATGCTCCCAGAAATGGGTTGAGCGAAGCAAATCCATTCATAAGCGTTGACAGCTCGTGGATGGTCAATGGGTGGGCTTTTGTTTCGTCGTCTACATTGTTTTGTCGATTGTACTTTTGCAGACCGACAACATACTGCTTCGACTCACTTGCTTGGGCAGGGTTGGGTTCGACATTGTTCTCCTTGAAGTACGCGACTAGTGCTGTCTTGGCGGAGTCGATCGTGCGCGCTTTCCGTCCCAACGAGTACAGTTGATGAAAGAAATCCGTGCAGTCCTCTGTGGAAGCGGTCACTGGGTCCGCCCCTTGCTTGTGGGTTGCACAAAATGCTTCGAAGTGCTTTTGGTACGTCGCATACGTTTGTCGTGTTGACGCACCGGGGAACGACGCCTGGATGGTTTGCTTCGTAGGTGTTCCTTCCATTATTTACGAGAATGGAGCTTTGAATGGAGGTTACAATGAAACCCCCGTATTTGGAGGTTTTGGCCAATCACATTGTGTACATGATGTTACATGTTAACGATATGCTGCCGCAGCGACAACATTCTCGTCCAATCATAAGACGATATTATCGGTCGACGAATCAAATTAAGATTCCTTGTCGGTTATCCAATCACCGGCTCCAAATTTGTCGGTTTGTTGTCGCGTGTGTACTATATGTACAGTATTCAGTTCCTTGTTTACTCGCACGTGACAACTTGAATCAAGTTGCAATGGTGCACCATGATTTGAATGAATCAAGTACCTACTGTTACTTGGTGGTTCACGAAACAAATACGAAACGTTACAGTATCTAGTATATACTACTAGTACTACTAACCAAAGTGGTGGTGTGTTTGCACAAGTAAAGTTGAGGTGCACGTTATGAAAATGCAACATGAGTAGAACCTCGTATGCACTACAGCAAGACCAACTCAAAGACTGTATATTGACAAGGTACTTG